CTACTGGAAGAGTTGGTAGCCATAACTCGTCGAGTAGATGCCAGAAAGGATGCAGGATTTAAGGAGCCTACTCGCCGAGTCTAAGCATGGACTCGACGAGTAGGTCTGCTAGGAGGAAATCCTATTTTCGGGGTTTTGCACCCTATTTAAACCACTTAAACCCCCCTTTGGCATCCCTTACTAGCCTCCCTGTCCTCCAGAAACCTTAATCCGATTGAGAGCTTCATCCTTGAGATTTTGAGTTTATTTTTGTGTTTTGGAGATAGTTGGAAGATCTTGGAGCTAGCAAGCTTGTGGAAGAAGATCAAGATCTAGGAATGCATTCATCTTTGGAAGCATTTTGAGGTAAAAAGCTCTTAGCTTGGTAGCCCATAGCTTAGATCTCCTCTAATGATGACTTATGGGTCTTTATGACCCTTTTGAGTAGGATAACTTTCTTCCTATGGGTTGCATGCAAAGCAATCCCTTTTTTCTGTGATATTTATCCTCTAGAGTCTTAAAAGGAGTCTTGAACCCGTTTTCATCCAATCCATGGTCATGTTTATGAAGTAGGTTGCTATAACTTGAGTTTAGGTCCATTTGAGGTGTGCAAAGCCGTCAAGTCTCCAACTTTATAAAATGGACCATGGAAATGACCTAGATCTGTATTTTTGAGCTGAAGTGTGAAACCAATTATCTAGGTTAAAGGTGCAAGGGACTCGGTGATTTCATAAGGGAACTCAGGGAGTCCGATGAAGAAACCTCGATGATGTTCATAGGACTCGGCAATTTGATTAAGGAACTCGGTGATTAGGAGGATCTTTTCCCTTTTCTGACTATGTCAGGACTCGGCGATCCCGAGGATGAACCAATGTGTCAGTTCGACAAATCGCAATGACAAGTAGTTTTAGAACTCGACAAGTCAAGGGATGGCTCGGCGAGTCGAGTCACGATTCCACAGTTCTGAATTCTAGGACTCGACGAGTCACAAGGCTGACTCTGTGAGTTTGGTTAACCTGGAATGTTGACTTTGACTAGGATGTTGACTTTGATCAGGGCTGAAATGGTCATTTTACCCTAAGAATAGTTATCAATTTTTTACTAAGTGTGTTTATAGAATTTATAGCTGCAGAGTCGCCGAAGCAGCAGACAGGGATTTCTCACCCAGATTTCCAGTAGTTAGTCATACGAAGTGAGTTTTCCTCAAGTAGGAATGGGTGTAAGGCACTAATGTTGGCCCGTTTATGTAGTTACAGTACGTCGGGGTTAGCCAATTGTAATTTATATGTATCCGGACTTCGGTCCGATGTCGGGGAGGTCCCGAGAAGTAGTTATGTATGCTTGATGTCCTTGTGATTCATGCATGTTTATTTTATGTGCTATATGTTTCCAGACTCCAATCTGATGTGAGGCAGGACCCGATACAGTGGGCAGGGCCCAAGTTATTATGAGTTTGGTCCGATGTAGGGTAGGGCCCAATTATGTCGAACTTTGGTCCGATGTTGGGTGGGGCCCGATGCACTTTGTAGGGCCCAATATTTTTTATATGTGTTATTGTGTGGTATGTGATAGTTTTGGGGAGCTCACTAAGGTTCGTGCTTACAATTTTCAGTTTGGGTTTCAGGTACTTCCGGTAGCAAGCAGAAGAGCTCGGGGTGATCGCATGTCACACACCATCGTATTCAACCTGAGATTGTTTGAGACTGATATTCTATCATTTGTTTTTGATACAGTATTTTATATGATATATTACGACATATGACACTTGGTTTCTTATTTATTATGGATGATTATAGTTTTTTAAATATTTTTCAAACAAATTTTTTAGGTCGTATTTTTGGGATGTTACAATTAGTGGCCAAACGCTTCACTCTGATTGAAGGCCTCGACTATGATGAGAACTTTGCTCCAGTTTCTCGCCTTAAAGCCATTAGAATCCTTTTTTCCTACGAAGCTCATAAAGGCTTACTAAATGGATATTTCTTACCTTAAAGCCATTAGAATTTTTTTGATACATTATTTATCTCCAACGGCCTACCGGGTTTGTAAATCCTTCCTATCCGAACTACTGTTACAAACTTCGAAAAGTTGTGTATGGCCTCAAGCAAGCTCCACGTGCCTGATACTAGACTCTTATAGATTTTCTAAAGTGTTCCATTCTTCAAAGAGTAATTCTTGATCCTACACTTGTGCATACGCCAAGGTATCCATGGACTTCAGACAGAAGATCTTCTCGGACCCATCAGGTGTTGATCTTGATGAAAAGAAGTACAGAGGGATTATTTGATCACTACTCTACCTAACAGGAAGTCTTCCGGACATCATGTATTCTACATGTTTGTGTGCCATATTTCAATTCAATCCAAAGATGTCTCATCTTTTAGCTGTCTAAAAAATATTCCAATACCTTAAAGCTACAAAGAGTCTTCAAATCTGGTACCTTGAAAATGAGATCTTCCTCCTATAAGCCTACTCAGATCAAACTATGGTGGTCTAGAAATAGACATAAAAAGCACCTATGGTGGCTGTTAATTTTTAGGTGGAAGGTTGGTTAGCTGGTCGTCCATGAAACATAATTGCTTTGCTCTTTCGATAGTCAAAACGAAATATATTGATGTTGCTTGTTTCACTTCTCAAGTTCTTTGGATGAAATCATAGCTTTTGGCTTACGTTTACCGGTTTCAATAGATTCCTATCTATTGTGACTCCCAAAGTGTTGTTGCGATTTCTCACAATCTGATTCAACACACCAACGACGAAGCACATTTATATATGATACCATTTCATTAAAATCATGTTTTAAAAGGAAACATAGAGCTTTTTTTTGTTCCATCTAACAATGAGATTGTTGATGTCTTAACCAAGGCATTAGATGAAACCAAATTTAATGGTTTTTTGAACAAAATAGGCATGATGTTGCCTGATTCTCAATTGTTCCAATGGGTTTGCACTCTCTAATGAAAACATTGGAAAGTAAATCAATTCCAATGTCAAATCTTTTTCATCTCAGAATAAATTCCTCTCATAGTATCTAGGATCATTTTGTGTGTCTTTTTATCTAACATCTTCTTCATGTTTAAGTTGTGCAACTCACTTTATCTTTTGAATTTCATTTGACCAACATAATTACATTAGTGTTTTGTTTGGTCTCACCTCGGAACTGAGCTTAAAACGTGTGCATCAGATTTCTCCTCGGAAATTCAAATTCGTAATGGTAAATGAATCCGCAATCTCTTACCTATGTCTTGGATTTGACTTCTTTCATGTTGGAACCTCCAAACTGTTTAAAATATGTCCTCTAAGATCTTCTTACTTCTTACCTCTGATATTCAGTCTAATTCTGTGAAATCTCAGACTCTATATCATGTATAAGTATTTTCATTCTTATCTTGGAAGTATCTTATGACAATCCATCTCCGAACTCTCATGATTCGAAATCACATTGTAAATTCCTCTCGGAACATTCATTCTCTGAAATCCATTTGGCAAATAATCTCAGAAAATTATGGCTTCAAGATCATTCTCTTGAAAAGAAGTTCAAAAGGTTTTTCATTATTTATGAAACATTTTCTCAACAACCCAAATGGTTATATTTTTGATAATGATAATTCATTAATCCTAGAAAATCACACTCTTTTTGTACACGTCCCTATAAAGTAAACATCATGTCAATCAGATGATGGTATGCATTTTGCATGTTCTACTATAGTATTCTTTGGTCCTTGCAGGTCAACAAATTCTAAATGTGGCAACACATTTAACGTGGTCCATATCCATATCCTGGTATCATCATTACGATTTTTGAACCCGACTCATTTCTTTTCAACCTATAAAAAGCTTTCAAAAATCCATTTGACACTTTACGCTCCTAAACCCTTCACCTCCTTTCTCTCTAAAAGAAAAGTGTTCTTCAAGCTCTAATAACCTCCAACAATGACGTCTACAAAATTCGTTCTGAAAATGACCAAAATTGCTCCCAAAAATAAAACATCCAAAGGTTCTGTCTCATCATCCTCAACTGAACCATTTCTGCATGAAACTACCCAACTCTTCTCCTTGGACCCCATGGACTACGACGATTCTATCTAGTTCATGTTCGAGTTTATTTCCCACGGTCCCATCTCAATTCCATTCACCAAAATTCTTGACCCACCCATTCCTCTTCGTCTTCTTCACACAACCTTTGAAAGATTCAAAATCGAATACGGAGTACTTGAGATCAGAATCACTAGTGATCATATTGTACCAGTTTACAAGTCCACCTTCTTGAAGGCCAATGGGATTCCTGAAAACCTTAAGGATTTCAAGGTACAAGAACCAACTTCTGAAGAATTTTAGACATTTCTTAACCACATTGGGTATGCTGAAGAGTTCAAAGCAAAGAACTTCAAAAAAATTTGCAGCTCCTGGGCTATGGATAGTCCTTATGCACTTAATCCTTAGAGGACTATCTAGGAAGCATGGAGGCAGGGACACAATGAGCAAGGATTCATTTTGTGTCATCTACAACATCTTTTCAGGGAAGATGAATGTCGCCGATCTAACAGAAGTCTTGTGGCAACACTTTTAGAAGTTTTCTGTCAAACAAAATCCTTAAGAGATATCGAGTCAGAAATTTTGGGCTCTGACCATCTAAAAGCTATACCGAGAGAGGAAAGACCCAATCCCAGTCGGCACAATTCTGAAAGAGATATTTATATCTTTCAAAGCTATTAATTCTTATCGCCTTCTAAACCAAGCATCCTTCAGACCAATTCGAAGACTGCCTGAACACATGTAGGCCTCACCACCATTGGAGTCCCCACATTTGAAACAGCACTTAGAGACTTTGATTGTATATAACCACACATATTCTACCTCTGACGCTGTTGATTCAACCTTGGATGTGGCCAAGCCAGTCTTAACTAGCAGAAAGAAAAAAAAGGCTACCAAAAGAATGACCTCTCCCTCTAAACCTAAAGCCACAAAGAGAGCTAAAGTTGATAGCTCCTCCCAACACGAATCTATCAAAGACATTTTGGATGACTCTGGCCACCCTCAATGAAAACATCATCTCGGAAAAACCTCTGAAGTCTCCCCATAATGATGCAATTCACCCTGATCCTGATGAGGAACACCCATCCAAATTCATGTTTAATGAAGATAGTGCTTCCATTGATGCTCCTCTTGTTGGATCATATATTCTCTATTCTCAGAAACCATCTTCATCCAAGCTAGCTTATGGCATTGGACTGTCCATTTCCTCTTCTGAACCAGATAATGATGAAATTAATATTGACGATCAAGCTCACAACAATCGTGAAGGAAATACTAAAACCAATCATCCCAAGTATGATCAAGCAACCACTACAAACAAATTTGGCCCTTCTGAACCACCTATGAATCCAGAGCATGATAAATCCAAGACAATGAGTTCCTCTTTGGACACATGATCATCAGCTGGAAACTATTCTAATCCCTTTGCCTTGATGGAACTCCAAGACGTCAAGAAGCAAGGGCCCTTAGATGAAGAAAGAGCTCAACTGTTGGATCAACATATTTCCCTCCATGTCAAACACACCATTGAGGAGGTCGGATGGAAATATAACTCAAGTCTTGATAATTTTCTTGACACCATCACCACCATGTTGAAAGTACATGATGACATGATCAGTGAAACAATTGAGTTGATCAAACAGGCGCATGTCAAGGCAAAACAAAAAAATTCAAAGGTTGGAAAAGGAGATTAAGAAGAAAGATGAGATGAATCTCATCATGCAACAAGTACTCATCAAACTCCTACGAGACTGTTGGAATATCGTGGACATTCTGAAACAATAAGTTCGATGAAATATTATCCATTCTTGGCTCTTTATTTAACCATCTCAAAGATTAGGGCTCCAACCGTTGAAGCATATGACACCCTTACCCTACAGATGAACACTAGCTTCCAAAAGGTGTTTGATCATCTTTCGGAATTTCAACAATCTGCACTTCTTGCCTAGATTTCCCAGTCATCCGATGAAAAAGGGGGAGAAGGCCCTAGGAAAAGAGAAAAGTCTATATCTTTGAAGGCTTCTTCGAAGTTTAAACACCAAGATGAGTCTGATAATGAATCTATTTAGATTGTCTGCAAAGGTATTCCATCTGATGATGATGATAATAATGATGATGATGATGATGATGATGATATGGAATTAAAGCTCTAAGGAAGTTTCCAGCCAAAATTCCTTCCGAGGAAGAGTAGAGGATATGGTTGCCTATATCATGGCCATCATCCTTGGCTGATGTTCTAAAACAACGCCATGATATTGCTAAGGCAAAGACTAAGCTTACAATCAAAGCTTTTTGAGACACTCGGTCAATGCTACCTTTAGTTCTTTCTTCCATAATTGCTCCAATAGATGAAGGTTCTCCACTTCTGAAACCTGATAATATTCCTAAAGAGCCCCTGATTCCTCCCCTCCTGAAATAACCATCGATGAAAGCATGCAACATATCATCTCTGTCCTCCACTAGCATAAAGAAAAGGGAAAAAAGCCCATCTCAAAATTTCAAAGCTCCGAATATGGCAAGTTCCGATCTCTCCATATGGCAAGTTCTATATCAAATTCGCTCATATTCACCCAGAAGATGATCCTTAAATGATTATCAAAACTCAAAAAGAACATTTGAAGACTTTCTAGTCCATAAATGCACATCCCCAAAAAGAGGTGTTTGTCTCATAAGAGAATTACCAAAATTTCTTGGTTCGGAAGGAAGGTGATGACTAAGTTTTATTTAAATTTCCTCTTACATTGCTTCTCTGTGTATCGGAACAAGACAACACAAATCACCATCTCATATGCCGATTTTATAGTCATCAATCCTAATGACATTCTAACCATTGATTCCCAATTTTGAACACATCAAGATAATCAAATGAGCATGGCTACATATAACTCTGCAATTATTTATATAAAGGACTATATCATTGAGTTTACTAGATGTAACTTTTAATTAGCTCACTTGTTCGAAACTGAAAAGTTCTTGGCAAAGATCTACTATAAACTGCTAAAAGTTGAAATCTTGGCAGAAGGGCCAATTGATGAACCGGCGTTAGGGTACGTCTGCCAGAAGTTGAAATCT